ACCAGGTGGCCCTGCTGCGGAGGTGGGCGGGACTTAGACTCTAGGTTCAGGGCCATTTCGTCTGGGGTGCGAATGGCCCAGGCTCTGAGAGTCTGGGCTGCGGTGTGTGGGTCTCTCTTCACAGTCGCTCAGGGTCTGTGTGTGGCGTGCGGTGTGTGGGTCTCTGTGTCTGGGGTGCGGTGTGTGGGTCTCTGTGTCTGGGGTGCGGTGTGTGGGTCTCTGTGTCTGGGGTGCGGTGTGTGGGTCTCTGTGTCTGGGGTGCGGTGTGTGGGTCTCTGTGTCTGGGGTGCGGTGTGTGGGTCTCTGTGTCTGGGGTGCGGTGTGTGGGTCTCTGTGTCTGGGGTGCGGTGTGTGGGTCTCTGTGTCTGGGGTGCGGTGTGTGGGTCTCTGTGTCTGGGGTGCGGTGTGTGGGTCTCTGTGTCTGGGGTGCGGTGTGTGGGTCTCTGTGTCTGGGGTGCGGTGTGTGGGTCTCTGTGTCTGGGGTGCGGTGTGTGGGTCTCTGTGTCTGGGGTGCGGTGTGTGGGTCTCTGTGTCTGGGGTGCGGTGTGTGGGTCTCTGTGTCTGGGGTGCGGTGTGTGGGTCTCTGTGTCTGGGGTGCGGTGTGTGGGTCTCTGTGTCTGGGGTGCGGTGTGTGGGTCTCTGTGTCTGGGGTGCGGTGTGTGGGTCTCTGTGTCTGGGGTGCGGTGTGTGGGTCTCTGTGTCTGGGGTGCGGTGTGTGGGTCTCTGTGTCTGGGGTGCGGTGTGTGGGTCTCTGTGTCTGGGGTGCGGTGTGTGGGTCTCTGTGTCTGGGGTGCGGTGTGTGGGTCTCTGTGTCTGGGGTGCGGTGTGTGGGTCTCTGTGTCTGGGGTGCGGTGTGTGGGTCTCTGTGTCTGGGGTGCGGTGTGTGGGTCTCTGTGTCTGGGGTGCGGTGTGTGGGTCTCTGTGTCTGGGGTGCGGTGTGTGGGTCTCTGTGTCTGGGGTGCGGTGTGTGGGTCTCTGTGTCTGGGGTGCGGTGTGTGGGTCTCTGTGTCTGGGGTGCGGTGTGTGGGTCTCTGTGTCTGGGGTGCGGTGTGTGGGTCTCTGTGTCTGGGGTGCGGTGTGTGGGTCTCTGTGTCTGGGGTGCGGTGTGTGGGTCTCTGTGTCTGGGGTGCGGTGTGTGGGTCTCTGTGTCTGGGGTGCGGTGTGTGGGTCTCTGTGTCTGGGGTGCGGTGTGTGGGTCTCTGTGTCTGGGGTGCGGTGTGTGGGTCTCTGTGTCTGGGGTGCGGTGTGTGGGTCTCTGTGTCTGGGGTGCGGTGTGTGGGTCTCTGTGTCTGGGGTGCGGTGTGTGGGTCTCTGTGTCTGGGGTGCGGTGTGTGGGTCTCTGTTCACAGTCGCCCATGGTCCGTGTGTCTCGGATGCGGTGTGCGGGTCTCTGTTCACAGTGGCCCAGGGTCTGTGTGTCTGGGGTGCGGTGTGTGGGTCTCTGTTCACAGTCGCTAGGTTCTTGTGTGTCTCGGGTGCGGTGTGTTGGTCTCTGTGCACAGTCGCCAAGGTCTGTGTGTCTGGGGTGCGGTGTGTGGGTCTCTGTTCACAGTCGCCCAGGGTCTATGTGTGGGGTTTGGGGTGTGGGTCTCTATTCACAGTCGCCCAGGGTCTGTGTGTCTGGGGTGTGGTGTCTGGGCCTCTGTTCATAGTTGCCCAGGGTCTGTGTGTCTGGGGTGCGGTGTGTGGGTCTCTGTTTACAGTCTCCCATGGTCTCTGTGTGGGGTGCGGTGTGTGGGTCTCTGTTTACAGTCTCCCATGGTCTCTGTGTGGGGTGCGGTGTGTGGGTCTCTGTTTACAGTCTCCCATGGTCTCTGTGTGGGGTGCGGTGTGTGGGTCTCTGTTTACAGTCTCCCATGGTCTCTGTGTGGGGTGCGGTGTGTGGGTCTCTGTTTACAGTCTCCCATGGTCTCTGTGTGGGGTGCGGTGTGTGGGTCTCTGTTTACAGTCTCCCATGGTCTCTGTGTGGGGTGCGGTGTGCTGTATGGGGTGCGGTGTGTGGTTCTCTGTTCACAGTCGCCCACGGTCTGTGTGTGGGGTGCGGTGTGTGGGTCACTGTTCAGTCGCCCAGGGTCTCTGTATGGGGTGCGGTGTATGGTTCTCTGTTCACAGTCGCCCAGGGTCTGACTGTGGGGTGCGGTGTG